GACTAGTCTGAGCAAGATCAAGACCCTGTCCCTACTAAAAATAGAAAAATTAGCCCAGTGTGGTGGGAGGTGCCTGTAGTCCCAGCTACTCAGGAGGCTGAGGCAGGAGAATTGTTTGAGCCCAGGAGTTTGAGGTTGCTGTGAGTTTAGATGCACTATAGCTAGGGGAAATAGAGTGAGACTCTGTCTCAAAAAAAAAAAAATTATCTGGGCATGATGGTATGCCCTTATAGTACCAGCTACTTGGCAGGCTAAGACAGGAGGATTGATTGAGCCCAGCAGTTGGAAGCTTTAGTGAGCTATGATGATGCCACTGCACTCTAGTCTGGGCAACATAGTGAGATCTTACCTGTACCTTGTCTGTATGTGTGCGTTTGCATACACATATAAGCAAATGCATGTGTATGTTTGTGTGTGTGTGTATATATATATATTTGTAAAAATATCAAAAACATTAAGTACATAGGGAAAATTTTAATAAAATATGGCCAAGATATATACACTGGAAACTACAACACATCACTGAGATGAACTTTTCAAGATCTAAATAAATGAGAAGGTATACTATGTCCCTTGATTGGAAGACTCAATATTAAGGTGCCAGTTTTTCCAGAAACTGATGTATAGATTCAATGTAATCCCAACTAAAATCCCAGCAGGTTTTTTGGGGGGTAGAAATTGATGTTGATGATTCTAAAATTTATATGGAAATGCAAATGACCTATAAGAGTAAAAAAAAAAGTTGAAAACAACAAACTTGGAACATTTACATTACCTCCTTTTAAAACTTACTGGTTTTGAACTTAAAACTTAGTGGTATTGAAATGAGGATAGACATAAAGATGAGTGGGAATAGAATAATCTAGAAATAGACAAATGCTCATATAGCTTCCGCTGAATTTGGACAAAGTATCAAAGGCAATTTAGTGAGAAAAAGATGGTCTTTTCAATATATGATGCTGGAACAACTGGATGTCCGTAAGGAAAATAATGAAACTCAACCCATACATTACAGCATGCACAAAAATTAACCCAAATGGATTAGAGGCCTTGATGTGCAAGGTAAAACTACAAAACTTTTAGAATAAAACAAGCAAACACGACTTTGGGGTACGCAAACTTTTTTTTTAAGACACAAAAAGCATTAATAAAAGAAAAATAAATAAGTTGTACTTCATTGAAATTAAGAATTTGCTTTTTCAGAATGCACAATTAAAAAAACGAAAAGATTTATAGGAATGTCATAACCTAATTATAGCCTTAGAATATGGGAAGGGGGTGGGAGGGGGAGGGG